TTGAGCAAGTTTCGTTGTGGACTTGGTCCATCGCTAAACTTAAATGACTATAATACCCTTGGGGTATTTATTTTCTATTTTTCTTTCATTTTTAAAAAATCTAATACATATTTATTTATTTTAATAAATAAAAAAATAAGAGGGACCCTCTCTTTTTTTCTCTCTCTCTCCACCGTAAAAGACCTTTCTTCTTTCATTCCTTCACAATAGATGTTTAATGGCTTCTTTCCCAAGAATTATGTCAACAAACACATTTAAAAACAACAAAAACCGAATGAACCCATACAAATCTTCAATGAAATCAAAAACTGTATGAACGATTGTTCCTCTTATAAACTCTTTGACTCAAGCAAGAATCACAGATGAAATTACAAATCAACCATAGTTACTCCACATGTTTGTGGTCTGTGAAGGAACTTAAATCTCCACACCCAAATGGAAGATAAAGAAGGAAGCACATGTATGCATCTGATTTCTGAGGTCCACAAATTTTTGCATCTGATTTCTTCCATCTTGATCTGAACTAGATGTTCATATGTTGGAAAACATCTATAGTTACCTCTTGTCTCCCTTTCCTTGCTCACCTAATGTACTTGTTTTTTCTGTTACCACTCACCACCAGTCCTCCGCTAGTTGAATCGACGACGCCTCTATGGCTGTTAAGTTCTTTATATTGAGTACATTGACCCAGTTGAGGGATCCTAAATGTTGGGTTTGAGTTGCAGGTTTTAGAACAGAGGAAGGAGAGGTGGAGTTGAAGAAATCAATCTGGGTTTGTTCTTCAAATACATAAACACACGCAGAGACCATAATCATATTTAGAATAGGGAGAAAGGAGGATAAAATGTGATAAAATCGATTGTGTTTGGTTGTAAATGGTCAGATTTGTGATTTTCATAAATTTTACGTTCAATGTTGTGTAAATTTAGGGCAATGTTGGTGAGGTGAAAACAAGGGAGGGAAGGGTATTTAGGGTGTGGAAATTCTTCGAAGAGAGTAGGGTACCTTCAGATGAAATGGAGGGTGGGTATGGTGATTCCGAGGAGTTTTTGGGTGTCGGCGATGGATTTCACAATGAGGAATTGGGTGGCAGAGGGGCGATGGATGATGACGTCTTTGAGTAAATGGATGACTTTTAGATCGATGGGGATGTCGATAATGTTTGTCTAGGGATCGGGTTTTCACCCATTTCAAACTGACTTTTGTGACTGTTCGACATTATTGATGGTTAGAGAGGTAGGAGGTGAAGATCTTATAAACTGATGAGAGCAAAAAGCTAATCATTAATGGTGGCTAAGCTGAAGAGAGAGAGAGAGAAAGAGAGAGGGGGGGTGGGAAGAGGAGAGAGAGAGAGAGTGAGGTGAGCCCCATAATTTTTATTAATAAAATTTTAAATTAAATAGAAAGAATATAAAAAAAATGTACCAGAAGGGCATTTTAGTATTTTCAGTTTTCTAAGGGACAAAAAACACAGTGAAACTAACTCAAAATGACCATGAAGCCAAAAAAAAATGAAGGTTTAGACTAAACATTGGAAAAAAATGCATACCATAGGGACTATTTTTACAGTTTTGTCTTTTTGACTATTTTTTTTTTGTCTTTTTACTGTTTTTTTTTGTTTTTTGTTTGTTTCATGTTTTTTTAGCTTTTTGTTATTTGTTATTTTTTTTAATATTTTTAATAAATACGTAATATTTTTTTTTCATTCGGACTATCTTTGTGTTTATTTATTTATTTGTTATTTATTTGTTTTCATTATTTTTAATAAATACATATTATTTTCTCTGTGTTATTTTTCCGTTCGGACTATTCATATATTATTTTTTTCATTCGTACTATATTTGTGTTATTTTTTCATTAAAACTATCATTGTTTTTTTTTTCATTCACACTAATAAAAAGACATTCAATCGTTTTAAATTCCGACGTTTTGGATTGGTTCCTTGGTTCTTTGAATAATAATGGTTCTCTATTAAACTTTTATATATAAATATATATATATATATATATATATATATATATATATATATATATATATATATATGAACAATTAGAGGGTTTGATCATTTACTTGAATATTCAATGATGGTTGATCCCCACGTTCATTACCTATATGTATATATACTCCAAGAATCACAAATTCTCCAAAACGCAGCAAATGAAATATTGGACAAAGAATTTTGAGATAGTATTACCTTCATATAAATCTAAAGCAATTTTGGGAACAACAATACCAATATAAGAAATCCCTGCTATGTATAGTGGATTCTTAAAAAACTTGGGATGATCAAGGAGGAACTGTTCATCAAATAAAACAAAACATTCAATACAAAGTACATTACTGCTAATCGAGAAACATATGTATGAATAATCCAAAGTACCTTCTTTCAAGATAATATAATACGAACACGTCCAAAATATAAGTTTTCAATCATGATTTGATCAATGGTTGCTTACTACATATATGTTGTTAAACAACTACTTATATTTTACTTTTCAAAAGATATATATATATATATATATATATATATATATATATATATA